GGCGGCAGCAATTACTTTCCTTATCTAACCATAAATGCGGAACGCCATCTGCCTCTTCAAGCCCCAACACTCTTTCATGGCAGAATTTCATTACTCAGCCCCACCTACGCTCCTGGCAGCTTTCCAACTGGTAAAAAGGTAAGTTGAATTGAATTGAATTCAATTAATGCCTTATATTACGCGGAGAGACTCCTGCCATGAGGCCTGCTCTTTCGTCTGACCACGCAAATTTCGCTACTCTCCTTTCACCAACTAGTAGAGAAAGGAGGTATTGGGCGAGAAACATGCGATTTGAATTTAGGTCAGAGGCATAATTTAGGTTTGAGGATCTTTTACATGCAAGTAAATCTACTAAATGGGACAGCCGGCTTTACTTCCGATACGCTAAACATTACACCATCGCCGCACGCAAACGTTAGGTGCAGGTACGTTAGGTAAAATTGTCAGAAAACTCGCAGCAATGAAGTAAAATAAAGAGTGTAAAATCAATCGCATGTAGCAAATATTGTAGAGAATAGGAGGAAGAAGAATAAAGCTAACAATGTGGTGGGGCGGTTGGGTGGAGGGCGGCAGAACAAAGTGAGCAAAACAAGTGCGCAACGGTGCGCAACGCGGCGGTGGTGGTGGCGGCGACGGTAACTCGAGAGCGCCGGGCGTGGGAAACGGGGAGGCGCGGCGGCGCCAAGAAACGCATCGGGGCGCGGGGTTCAGTAGCCCCAGCCTCCTGGAGAAGGCGCGGCCCGGCGGGGAAGGGAGGATTGCAGCGGTGCCCAAGCCAAGACACGGGGCAGCGGCGCGAAGGGAAGAGCGAGGAATTAAAAAAAAACACGTTTTAATAAAGCAGGAAAGGGATGGAAAAAAGCAAAAAGAAAGAAAAGAAAGTATCCTGATAGATTAAAAAATGTGTATGTAAAATGTAATATAAAAAAGGGACGTAAACACAACTCAGAAACTCAATGGATATTAATAAAAGAAGAAGATTACAGAAGTAAATTATATTATGGTGAATAGTTTACAAAATTAAGCTTAAGAGGAGTAACTGCAAATTTGATCGCACTTGACAGCGTTGGGTTAAGCGGTCGTCTGTGATTACAATTCACGGCCGAAATGGCATCATCGAACGTTTGGTTGGATCTGAGAGGGGAAGGCGTGTGTTGTACGCAATGCAGCGGCCGCCTCTGCCGATGACGTTGGAGGCGGGGGCGGAGGGCAGCCGCAAGGGGCCCGGCGGGAGGTTGAGCTCCTTCACTTTCCAATTCAAGCATTATGTCAGAGGGAAAGACAAAGATAGAGACAGCCGGCAGACAGAAAGCCAGATGGGGGTAGAACAGGAAGGCGAAGTGGGAGATGAAGACGAAATGGTCGGGCACGAGGGTGGACTGGACGCGTTCCGCTTTGGGCGGACGTTTGGGCTAGGTTGCACTCGCAGAAAGGGCACAGCGCAATTTCTCCTAGGAACTATTGTCCTCCTCGGTCTGAACTCCCGGAGGTGTTTCTCTTGTGCGACCATTTAGTTGCAATTGCTGACTCGTAATTGCTACATGCAACGCTAACCACATACATTCGTGGTTGTGTCTTCGCTTTGGGGTTATGCAGAACATGTATTTCATGCATGTAAATTCTCAATAACAGAAAATCGTAATAAAGCTAGTGGTGCTAAGACCACACGTATGTTTGCATTATTTATAATGGTTACGGGATATTATGATTCTAATTGAACGGCGAGATTCGGACACAGAAACTAAGATTTAGCAGACAATCAACATGATTCTATTCACTAACCGCCTGCAACGCTGTGGGAGACTTTCCTAAGCATTGAAGAGAATGTTGAACAATCGCAATTTTCTAAAATTTTCATTACAATCATACGAGTGCGAGTAAAAAATTGCAAAAATCTTGTTTATGTAGTGTTTAAAGGTTTCACTATTTCACTTAAAATCACACAAAAACTAATCACATTTTCAAACATTGTACATGTCCTGTCTTGAAGGCCTAACTTTGAATTACAGCTGTCTTTAAAAATACTAGTAGTGTTTTCCGGGCCTGTCCCTGCCAGTCTGTGATCAACGATAGCGCATAAACAATTCAGACGATTTTCTCCAAAATTGGCATCCCTAATCTATCAGAACGAACTCGTGACCATGCGAGATTGATTTGGGTGGTACTTTTCAGGGCTACATATGGGTATACGGGCTTTTGGGATAACAAAGATCCACATTTTCAAAATTTTCTTAAAATTGGATCCATTTTTTATTAAACCCGGTCCTCGCATAGTGTAAAGAACTCTTAATAATAGCACGAGTGAGCCTTTTTTGGGCGTCATCCTGCCTGTGGGCGTTGACCACGGACTGGCAGAGACAGGCCGGGATAGACATGCAGATTGAGAGGCGGACGCTTTTCCCTCAATTGATTTTTCGGTATAAAGGACCGACTACCCTTTGGCACGTATTAAAGGAAGTAGTTTACTACATATAGGAACAAAAGTTATCCAATGTTTCGTTTTCAGGGCTCGAATTAAGAATATTTCTGTCGAAAAATTGTCCGATTTTCGACGCACGATTAGATACTTTCTTTTCATACGAAGTAAGGCGAGAAAATGATATGCGACATAACTTAAACTGCACTGACATATTAATGAAATTGAGTGTTAATGAAGATTGCGGCTTCACTCCTTTGGACCTTTATGAACGAATTTATGGATTAAATAACCTGAGACCTTTTGGCGGTTTACCAAGTATTCGGCATACAGCTACAATATCAAATATAGTATATTTTTTTCTTCATGAAATGTTCTTTAAAGACATATAATGAAATAATATTATGTACAATTTTTGCAAAATATGAGCAGTTTTTTATGTAATTTTGCATGAAATATAGACAACGTAACAATAGACTTAAACGTACTATTTTCTTAAAAATGATAAACATTTTTTAAAAAAATGTTCTTCTGGAATTCATCAAAGGACGGTAAAAGTGGTGCTAGTCTCATTTTTAAGGAACTTTGTATTTTAAAAAATTACAAAAAATTAACATTTCAATAGTACAATATTAAAGACACAGCTTTTACTAATTTTCTATAGTTACAAAAGACATGCAATATCTCAATTGAATACGTTATGAATAACCACAAGACAACGAATAACAATAAATTTTAAATAAGCATAAAAGTCATTCTTATTAACAAAACGATCAAATCGGTTGGCCACTACACCAATCTTCCCCCAAAAATCCCGGTTGCAACACTCTTTGAGCATAATGCATATCTTCAAACATTTTTAATATAACATTCTAAATTAAAGTAGCTCGGGCAAGATCATATTTTTAGAATCTTGAAATTTGCATCTCAATCTGTTGGCCACCAAAAATTTGGAAGGCGAGGTACTTCGAAGGCTGTATCACCTCCAAAATAAGGTAATAAAAGGAATATTTAATAACTTCACATTTTAACGAACTTCACAGTTCATTTTTTTGCATGTAAAGAGAGCATCAAACTTCACAAGACATCGAATGTCTAACGTTGCTAAATAATTAGTTTTTAAACTTTCCCATAAATTTGGCGTAATATCACGGCACAGCCAACTTGGCCGGATGATTACATTAGGGGGGTGCAGCTGCAAGCTCTGCTTCCCCTGCCCGCGCCAGCACCACCCTATTGCCCCGCTACAACCCGCCCGCCCACTCACCGGAGCAGACCAGCCCGCCGCCCGCCCCGCCTCGCCCGCCCTGCCCCGCCTCTGGGCTTTGGAGGAGCTTCCAGCGCACCGCGCGAAACACTCCCACAACCGCCCTCCTCATTAATACAATATACGCCAAAAAACACACTCAGTTTATCCCTAGATTGCCTGATTTACATCTATATACTTTGGGTTTTATTAACATTTTTACAACTTTCTATCAGATAAAAGCATTTTATTGTGTTTTTCAGATAATATTTTTCTAAAATTCGTTGATTTAAAAATACATGCACAATGAAATCAACACGGTTCGAAATTTGGTTGACAATTCTATTGAAATGTTGATTGAGAAGTTTTGAAATCAGTGCATTTATTCATTACAACTAAGTCAAGAAATTATGTGCTGTTGTAGCACCCATCACCAGATATCATCGTGAGTATAAAAGCTAATCAAAAACTCCGTTCCAGATAAAAATTGCACCAAATCACTCCAAACCCTCAACAATCAAATTTTATCCTTGAATAAGTATTTATTACATATTTATAAACGAACATGTTCTGTTTTGAATTCTCATGGAAAATCTTCATGCCAGTTGCTCACAAATAGGCCGAGAAAAAAAGTTTTATATGACAAAATGTTGCTTCCTTCATAAATATCAATATTATCATTCAAACTAGTAGAAATGTGCGGCTTATCGAATCTTTTCTTCCTCTTAAAAATAGCACTACTGAATTGCTACTTATATTTTTAAAACTGATTGACATTATTTAAATCTCAAAAATTGAGGGATGAGTTGTATTGAGAAATAAATCTGTGGGCTTCGATATTGGAGGAGTATACGTTCGTAAAATATTTGAACTTTTGCGATTTGCGTGTGAAAAGAGAAAGAAAGGGAACAGGGATGGTTGCTCAAAGCCCGTAACCCATTTGTTGTGGACTGGCAATCACCAGCAATTGATAAAAAATCTATTCATGGAAGCAGCCACGTTTATAAAAAATATAGACAGGACATTCGACTTAGCCAAGTAACAAATTTTGCCACTAACAGAACCCGAAACCTGACTCACCGGACGGAGATGCTGCCAAAGCATCGATAATGTTGCCACAGAGCCATCTCAGCCGGTGGTTTTTATATAATATGTCGTTAACTAAAGACAAAATAGAAAAATAACTCATTGTCACGATGTCAAATGCGGCAGCTGGTGACTTTAATGTCGCTGGCTCTCTTGACAGGCGATTTTGCACGTCTGTAACTTCTAAGACATGATAAGCCAAGAAGTCTCATGCCCCTTTTTTGTGTGCAGCGAACGGTATATAAGCAGTAGACACAAGTGGACATCGTCAGCGAGTCAGGATGCATCTGTCCACGAGCCTCGTCTTCTGCGCCGCCACCGCTCTGCTCGCGGCGGCGCAATCCTCAGGAGGCGATCGGGTAAGGCTAGGTGTAACAGTATAATAATTATCTAATTAGTGATTTCATTGTAATTCTACTCCATTTAATATGGATAGGATTTAATACTCCATTTAATGTGATATATATATATATATATGAGATAATCTTTAAATGTTTTATATTATTAGTCATTTCAAATATTATGTTCTAGATCGGCCCAGAATGATGAATGTTTTTCGGTACCACTTTCATTTCATCCAAAATGTGGTCAGCACAAAATTGCACAAGTCGTGTCAGAGGAATGCGCCAGACTTCTAATGACCACCACTGTAACTAATGTCTACTTTTCATGGTCCATTGTTGCAGGAGTCAGATGGCCAGTGGCCGAATCCATTTTTCTTCCTGTGCCCTATCGCCCACGCGCTTTGCCCCTGCAACACGTCGGGACCCGCGCACACGCCTCTCGCCAGAACGTCTGAGCTGTTCGAGAGGATTTCCAATGGAATAGGAAATGATGTTCGCTTATGGAACGGCTCGCTTCAGTCAAGAACACCTGAGATGTTCGAGAGGATTTCCAAAGGCATTGGAAATAATAACTTTTGGAATGGCACGCTTCCATATCAACATTAGCAATAAGAGGAGCGCTAGTTACGTATCCACCTAGCTACATATTTGAAGGGAATGTATTGTCTTTGAAGAATAAAAGCGAGAGAGCATATCACAAAGCTGTTATTTTGCCTTAAAACGCCTTCATTTCTATCAGTATTACCTAAATATAAGAAAGTTAAATTTGCATGAAACTGATAATATATTTCTAATTTCTTACACAATTTCTAATTAAACATACCATATTGAAGTAAATATAAGTAATGCATATTACTCCAGTGAATGGAAGTTTGAGGGAACGCCTGACTGATTAGTGATTCCGGGTGCGTCAACTACTAAGGTCAGTAGTCCCGTAAGTGTAGTAAACGTTTACCTCGAGAGGTGGTGAAATCCGAAGCTGACGTACCGTCGGCTAGCGAGGTTTCCCTCAAACAGGTATCTCTCACCAGCGGGGCGCGCCCCTACCGGAACAAGCTCTAAGCTTTCGACCGGTCTCCAGGAACGTGTGGTAGTGTAGTGAATTCGAGAGTGTGTGTGAGTGTGTGTAAGTAAGGGATGAGGATAGGACAAGAAAGAGTTAGGAGCTGTGCATTCCAAGAATCACTTTGTGTCTCGGGATGGGATATCAGGAATTTCTTAAAAAAGAATACTAGTAGTGTAAACTACTCGTACATGTTCAATAATTCTTATGTGTATTCCTAGGCCGCAACACAATCACTTCACTAAACAATGAACAAGAAACATCGTAGGTTATTTTACATTACATGAATGTTTCTATCACCTTCTTTAGTAACTATTCAACAAAATTACTTTTGGAAAATGGTTTCAAGAAAAACAATAATAAAAATGTACAGTTTGCGTATACTTAGTTATTTTAATCTCTTTAGTGTTATAGAGAAGAAAAGGTTGGAATCCGTAGATAGAAGTTTTATATTAAACACACGGTAGCAACAGCTATAGGCAATTGCAAGAACAATTGTAGCAGGCAGGTATGAAACATCCCAAGCAAGCTACACATGTGTAGTTCTCTGAAAGCTAATCAAAGTAATGTAACAAAACCCTAAGGCAGTACCAATATGGAACGATACTAAAAATATATAATATAAATAGAATCGTTTTATGGCAGAGTGTAACATAAGGGTTACACCTTGCGCCGCGAGGATTTCTAGTAATTATGGTTACCTCCAATTACGGTTACCTTCATGCACATTATTTACTGAGCATATTTTATAAACATTTTTAAGGTTCTTTTCAAGTTACCTTGGAGTCTAGTCAAGATTAAGATAAAATTTCATGACAATAAATTAAATAAAACGATAAATACTTTGTTCTCTATGAACACAAATATACACGAAGAACCTTCATTTTCTTAAAATTAATATAAAGTTGGCAGAATGCACCGTCCATCTACTTTAGCCACTTCATGGGTAGTGACCCTTATCCCACCAAACAAGAATTGCGCAAAGCGATCGCGTTAGGCGAGCGTTTAAAGCATTCCTCCACGCGCGTCGTAAAGTCGGCTCGGCCCCATGCGCGGCGTCCAAGATGGCGCCGCGGGGGCGGCGCGGGGCGCTGTATTCTAATCTGCGGGCGCCGGCGACGGAGCCCTGGGGAGCGCCGATAGAAGGCGGTTTTCCGCTCCATCGCCTGGTTATTGCGACCGGAGGCGGCGGCGGCGGAGGCTGCGGCGGGACGCGCCGATAACGTTGGCTGGCTAGGAGGGGGCGCTCGGGCCCCAAATGGGCCAAAAGGCGCACCACAAAGCGAGACACTCACGGAAAAAATTATTTTTGTGGCACCAAACAGCCTCTTTAACTGGAAGAACAAGATGGTTAAAATTAAACAACCGCTCTCCACTTCTCTAGGGTTAAAAACCTACATATTTAAAACACTTAGGAGGTTTGGTGCAGAAAGAGATACGAGCATTCTCCTCAATCATATTTTGTGTGGTTTTAATGAAAGGCAGTTGGCCCTAGATACGCTATCTCTTAGTCGTATTGGGAATCGTCCATAAATTACGAAACGCAAAAGATGGAGGGGAGGGGATACGAGGCAGCGTTACGCTGTGTGTCACATAGGGGTAAGGGTGTTTAGTGCCACGAAACATTGATTTATGTTTAATTTTTAGGAATTTACTCAAACTACTTTTTTCTGCTTTAAACCCAAACATCAAAATATTAATTAATTACTTTTTAAAACATAAATTAAAGTTATTGTGAGGAATTTGTTACATTAAAAGAAAATATTTTTCATTACTTTTATTGAATCTTGATCATGAAGTAAATATTCAAAACAAAATAAATTTTGACATGAATTAGAAGCAATCGTGCATCGTTTCTTGACGGCCATGTTGTCATGACATTGTTCACAATTTATGTAACGTGATACTCGTATGGTGCTGGAGAAATTATGGTTCAATAAAAGCAGTCTCATAATTACGTACACAATGGCCTGAAGATCAATATACGTTTATTCCTGACCATATGCTTTAGCTAGCAGAAGAGGTAAGTTCCCCTTTAATGCAGTCCAAATAAAAAAAAACTACTTACGATAGGATATTACAATTATTTCTGTAATAGAGTTTTCAGAGAAACATAAGAAATTAAAGATATTGAAACCTACAATTTTGTGGTCATACTGCTGTACACTAAAAATGTTCATTTAGATAATGGAAAAATTAATTTGTTGAACTAAGTTTGTCTACATTGACGTCATAGAGTGGCCGAAGTTTTAAAATAGAATTCTATAGAACACCGACAAAAAAATCGAACGCGTGACATGAATTTTCAAAGATTTACAACAACTTTACATTAATTTGAAAATTGTATATTAATATTTATGCACTCAGTAGGATATAAAATATTGTCCTGATTTCTTCTGAAAGTCCAGTCTCTACACTACCTGCACCACTCCATACTAAATATATGAGAAATTACGTAATAAGGCGCCCCAAAAACTAATTTCTGTACGCAAAATTCTGTAACATGTACTCTAGCACTTCTCTCATACAACATCCCTCCCCAGTGGCAACAACGTATGACACTACACAAAGCACTTAGGGCGGAGTACACGGAAAATAGTAATTAAACTTTTTAGATTCCGCATCAGCAATTGAGAGCGCGGTCTGGAAACCTGCAGGTGAATTTGGATTCGGCGCGAGCGACAGACGGGCCAACACTATGTGTGTGCGCACTCCCTCGGGAAGAAAAGTAATGTCTATGCAGATTTATTGGCTAAGGCAATTCGCAGTTGGTGCGTCTCTCGTTTCGAAGCCCCGCGGCGAACAAAGTTATATGAATGAGTAGAGCAAAACTCACAAAAATCCAGTTCTTCTTCTTTTTTGACACAATGAATAGCAATCGAATTAATCTGTGTCATGAGAATGAAAAAAAAATCATTCTCCTGACGATCGGGCTTGACTTCAAAAGTTTGGAGACCAGTTGCCAGTGGCTACATGTAAAATGCCCCCATAATTAGAAGAATGTTTTTTGAAAATCGCAGAGCTTTGTGATGGGTCAGATTACTCAGGAATATTCATTTTGGGAAAAAATCCTACGTAGTGTTTAGGCTATAGGATAGCTCGCAGACGGACGGTCAGATAGAGGGACACAGACGGATGAACGAACGTTTTGAAAAAAACAACTTTTTTAGTGTGAAGGGCCCCCAGAACGTGTATTACTGTTGAAATCCTATCTGACTGCCCTCAAAGGTCTGCAATTTTGAAAAGAATTCTTTCAATATTGGGGACACTTTACATGAAGCTCCGGGGAAATTTTCAAAATTTTCTCAAAAGTGGCTGCAAATTTTTTCGGTATATTTATTGTAAAAATAAAGCAAAATACCTTTATAAAAATGGCAAACGTCCGATTTTCACAGTTAACTCCGAATTTTCGAAAATGACATGACTGAAATATTTTCGTCTTCCTACAATTACAATATTAAAGATGGCAATTTTTTTCTACAAATGAAATTTGTTCTCCACAATCAGTTTATTGGTTAGTGTTATGCACAGTTTTCTAAAATTTTTGTACTTTTCACGTTATTTTGAATGAAATATGAGCAATATTAAAATACACAAAAAACAATATTTTCTTAAACACTGCTAAACGGCTCTTTTTTTCTTTACGTGTACGTTAACGCCATTTTCTTGTCTACTTCTCTTTTTTCTAAATTTGGTATGAATCTACTTTCTATTTTTCATTAATGTAGTACATGCCCCATACGCTATGGGTTTTTGTGATGCAGACGGGCTGACAATAAACGAAAAACTAGCACTAAAATGCACCCATGACTTACATAATGCATTTCTGCCATTCTAGGTGATTTAAGAGATCGTTACATGCCTTCCAGTTATTTGTAAGTTCTCATATCTCCTGTCACCGAAATGGCGTCAGGATGTCTTCCTTGTTTGAAAGTTTTGCAACGACAAGTTTAGTTTCGGAGTGAGATGAATGTTTTGTCAACCGCGCAAGAGATACGTTATAATGGCTTATTTGAGAAGAAAGCATAAAGCAGGGGTTGCTAAATGACGCATTGCAATGTGTCAGTGGCATTTAGTAGATTTCAGAGAAAACTTTATAATTATGTGCACTGACGTATGGTGCTGTTGCTACTATAGAGGATACAATGTATTTTAAATGGCCTCATACGCGCACTATGTGTTATTGATTAATTATTCATCCACAATATCATGTATTTTAAAGCCATCTTTGATCTTATTAAACATGCTTGTAGATAGAGGTGAGAAATACATTTCATAATTTCAAAGAAAGTCACTTTGAAAAACGATACTCCCAAGCAATCCCATTCATAGCAGTCACGTATACACACACTGAAATATACTAATTTACTGTGGGTTACCGGAGGCATTTCGGCAACATTATTTCATTAATTACGTATTTTACTTTGTTGTTGTTGTTTATTGAAACATCTCGTGTTTTGAAACTGAAACCTTACAATATTGAAATATCTCATGTTTCAGTACTATAAGGTTTTAGTTTGCAAATACACATCCACAAGTTGTG